TCTCTTCACTATCTGTGCTCAGTGTGCTGACTGTGTGTGAAACGTTCCACTGCTGTGCAACAGGAATAACATGTTGGCATCTTATTCTGTAAACAGGATGTTCGTCTGAAGAAACCGGATGTTGATGTACGTTAATATTTCTGCTAACTTTCTTAGCTCATTCTTGAGGCTCATACCTGACGTCATTCGTTGCGATCCTAAAGGTGCGTTCATACCAAACGCGACACGAACGCACCTTGAGAACGTTCCTCAGACCGACATCTTAACACTAACCGGCTGCAGTTTGTCTCCACTTCTCTGTCGCATCTGTTCGCTTGTCTTGCTTTTGTTTATCTCTACTTCTCCCGCACCGCTGCCAGTGAGCAACGGACTTTCAAAATAAAAAAATGCGTTAACGTGCTATAAAATAATTGTCTGCGTTAATTAATGAATGCGTTAACGCGATAATAATGCGTTAATTTGCCCAGCACTAATATATACATATTTATTTCTGAGTCTGGTAAAAGTTTTTGTACATTGTAAAAAAAAAAAAAATTTAAAATTGCACTCATTTTTAAAGAATAAGTAAAACCTAAATGATTGACATTGTTGTGGTCATATTGAGGGCTCCAGTAGAACCACTGTGTCCTCCTCACTTTAACAGAAACGTGGTGAAACTCACGTGGAGCATGAATATCAGCTGCTTCCTCTTCTGTTCATGTGGTTCTGCTTTTATTGAAGACGAGTTACGACACTGTGGTTTTCATTTCTACCTTCTTCACAAGAGCTTCTTCCTCTTTTCCGTTTGCTCAGAATATTACGTTGTTTTCACGCTTTTGGTGTCTGGTTTCTCTTGTTGGAGGAAATGAGGTTGTGACCTGTGTGTCTGTTATTATCTGACATTAGACAACCTTTTATATGATATCGGAACAATCTCCATCATGATGGATTTACATAAATTACCATATTCATATTACCAATTACAGGATGGGTGTTTTGTTTCTCCTGTAATATAAACACACCGGTTATAGATTATAGAACATTTATTCATATCATTTTACAACGTGAGGGTTTTATAATGAAACCTAACTTTATCCAGTGTTCACATTTATGTTCAGGACAGTTATGTAAATGAGTACATATTTAATAAGATCATGCCTCATTTGCATATTCGATAAGATCATACCTCATTTGCATATTTAAACACACATTGTTGTTTTTTAAAACTTGTAATACAAATGAATAATGATTTGAGTTTTCCGTCCCCACAGTCTGATGTTCTGGACGGACTGGGGCGACCGGGCGGCCGGCGTGTACCGGAGCTACATGGACGGGACCAACGTGTCCTGCGTGGTGTCGGAGGGTGTCCGCTGGCCCAACGGCATCACGGCTGACGACCGCTGGCTGTACTGGACCGAGGCCTACAGCGACCGCATCGAGAGGGCCGACTTCAACGGGGGCATGAGGAGCGTCCTCGTGGAGGGGCTGCCCCACCCGTACGCCATCGCGGTCTTCAAGGTCAGACCCAACAAACAACATCCTGTCCTCAGACTCCTCCCCAGTCCTGAATCAGAAAAGTGTTGGATCAGACTTTAAAACTCTGTTTTCATCCGTTTATTCAGAACGATTTGTACTGGGACGACTGGTCCAGAATGGGGATCTTCAAAGCCCCGAAAGCCGGTTCTCAGAGCAACGAACTGATCGTCGGCAGACTCACCGGAGTCATGGACCTCAAGATCTTCTATAAGGGGAAGAACAGAGGTGAGCAGCAGGCAGAGGGGGGGCCCGAGGGTTTACACAGCTCAGCAGAGATGATTCAGGGACATGTTGTCTTCAATAACAGCGTCTTCATCAAACTTTAGGGTTCAGCTTCAGACACATTTATAAATAAAACCGTCTAAATGAAACAGTTAGAAAGATGTTTGTAAGTTTATCATACTAAAAGTTAAAAAGGGATTAAAAGGAGATTTATTTCTATTGTCTTCGCAAAAAGAATAACATTTTAGCGTAAGAAGAAATTGCAAAGAAGAAGTTTTTATCTACAAGTCAAACAATAAGTTAAACTACTAAACACTACTCAATGAAGTACAGCACCGCTGCTCTGAGATCAGATTTAAACCTGCATCGGTGCTTTAAGCTGAGCTCTGTGCTCCTTCAGGACACAACGCCTGCGCCGACCAGCCGTGCAGCCTGCTGTGTCTGCCTCAGCCGGGGCACCGGCACACCTGCGTCTGTCCTGACGGAGCCCCGACCGTCGCCATGCCCAACGGAGAGCTGCAGTGCCAATGTCCCACCGGGTACCTGCTCCACAACAACACCTGTGTGAAGACCGGTGAGACTGACACGCACACACACACACACACACACGATATTGGATTTTACAGCACACGTAAATAACAAAGCGGGAATCAGGACACCATAGATATCATATGAAACTTACATAATCCCGACATCCTTACTGTAAGATAAAGGATCTTCTCTGTTCAGTTTCAGGGTCTATCTCATTCATTAGTTCTCACGCGTCATCCTTTCTCTCGTCCAATCAGAGCACAGCTGTCTGCCCAACCAGTACCGCTGCTCCAACGGCCGCTGCATCAGCAGCATCTGGAAGTGTGACAGCGACAACGACTGTGGAGACATGAGTGACGAACAGGAGTGTCGTAAGTATTGAGTCGCTCTTTCTCATGATGTCGAGATAAACAATAAATACAGTTTCCACGTATAGAAATAAAGATATTCATGTGTCCGCTTGCAGCCACCACGACCTGCGACCCGTCCAACCAGTTCCGCTGCATGGCCTCAGGCTCCTGCATCCCTCTGGCCTTCAAGTGTGACCATGAAGACGACTGTGGAGACAACAGTGATGAGGAGCACTGTGGTGAGACCTTTTTTTATTTATAAAAAAAGGTCTATATATATATATATATGTATGTATGTATGTATGTGTGTGTGTGTGTGTGTGTGTGTGTGTGTGTGTGTGTGTGTGTGTATGTATGTATATATGTATGTATGTATGTATGTATGTATGTATATATGTATATATATATGTATATATATATATATATATATATGTGTATATGTATATGTATATGTATATGTATATATGTATATGTATATGTATATATGTATATATATATGTATATGTGTATATGTATATGTATATATATATATGTATATATATGTATATGTATATGTATATGTATATGTATATATATGTATATGTGTATATATGTATATGTGTATATATATACATACACATACATATATACATACACATACATATGTATATGTATATGTATATGTATATATATGTATATGTATATATATGTATATATATATACATATATACATACACATACATATGTATATGTATATGTATAT